ACCAAGTCGAGGTACTAAGTTAGGTGGATTCCTAATCGAGGCGAACCGTCAATGTGTGCATCACACTAGTGCTTCGAGTCCAAATACACAGTGTCGAGATGCAGAGGTTTGCGTAGCTTCAGTAAGTGCAGATAGTGCCTCGAAATGTGCCAGACCGTTTGCTAAAGCTTAGAATCTCTTCACACGAGGTCGTTGCGTTTATGTTCGATGAGGGTCGGGCCTGTGTGCACAGAGGATACGTGTTTACGTCTCCTGAACGTGTGTTTTTGTTACAAACAGAAACGCCACACTTGTTGCGTATGCATAATTGCAGCCAATCATGTAGGTGGGAGTTCATAGACTCAATTCCTACCGGCATCCGTTTGCTCGATTCTCGCTTTCATTCGATATTGGCATTCAGTGCTGATTAAATGCAACGTCACGCCTGTTAAATAGATTAAGTAACGGAAACGGACAGTGGTGATCACAACATGACTCGAGAAACCTCACACCAAATGTCAGTCTTTTGTGCTATGCTGTGCTACATGTTGAAGCTGTTGTAATCAACGTCGCGCAATGAACAGCCACTTCGATGCGTGAGGTTTTACCAGCACGCATTTCAACCACACAGATGCCAATGCTACAAGACTGAGTTCGAAAAGCGGGTCATCCCACATAGTGTCCCTCTGCTAGGCTTCCCTCAAAGACAAATTTTCCAATTTAGAACCGGTGTATAGTGGATTGCTGTGTATGTCACTGGGATCAGATTACTGCAATCGAAACAAATACTTGAACAATTTTAACACGAATAGATCGCATCCCACCTATCATCACTTAAGTGTTTCCAACCTGATGCCAATGATGTAGCCTCAAACAATGACCATCTACTGTGCATCACACTAAACGCCTACCTACTTTAAGAGCCAGCTTTGCGTGCTACCACGCAACACCGTACGTTCAGTCATGAGCATAATGCGTGATCTCCTTGAAACACAATTGCCACGCGTACTTTCTGCACACTTCCATGCAGAAATTATTTGGAGAGACGAAATGGTAAAGCAACTTGTGGATGTTCAACACGTCACCCCAGTGACTTCAATCGGCCACCGCGATGGTGACTGAACAAAGAAGGAAATTGGACATGGAAGCTGCCTCGCCTTCAGTTCAACTTGATGCCATAGAAATATGCTAGGTTGGTGATCCCATATCATCACCACCGACCATTGATCCGCCGTGACGTCTGCCATTAACAATAAGCAAATATACATAGTGATACTTGAAACTTCGACCAAACGATGAAAAGTGTCGTCTGTTAGTCCCAGTGCATATTACATTCAACGCTACGCCTGTCAATTAGTTAAAGAAACGGAAACGGAGGAATGCCACAGAGCAAAATCAGCAACACGAGCCAGGCTTCTCTGCCGTAACTACGTCTTCGTGTATTGTTGGCATTAGTCTCTGAGGGTCTTTTTACTAAATGATGTTTCTATTCGCCACATAGTTACATTAGGCATTCCACGTAAATACATTTTTCCAAGTAGGAGTTCTCTGACTTCTCCAGTTGTGTCCCACACATTGTGGGACTTGATGCACGCCTTCAGCCAACGGTAACGGACCTTCAAAGATAGGCACGGTCCCACTTTCATGCTTTTTGATTTTGAAAGAATTAGTGTATTTTTGGTTTTTAGACTTCCTTCATGTCATATAAAAACTTAAATTGTGTTCGCTTATATAGTGAATGCCAAATTGTTTTTGGACAGCCCACTCGAATACAATGAAATTCATTCTTGTCACGTCGGGATCCGCTCCTATTGCACTAATTACATGATCCCCAGAAGTGTTTAGTCTTGCCGCTGGTTATTATGATTAACCTGTGTACATTTTTTCTCTTGCCAGGTGTATATTGGTTCCACCAAGAATGCAGTGAATTCCGCGGCAAATGATGCCTCTGGTGAACGTCCTGAAGTGGCTACAGACTTGGCACTAACTTACAACCCTCTAGTTAACAGTCCGTAACTATCCGAGAAGAGAGAAGACAGAAGGCGACAGAGAACACGACCGTTTATTAGCGTCACGCCAGTCAAGTGGCTTTGTGTGCGTATGTGTACGCGTGCATAACATGCGAATGCTGAGAGGTGAGTCATTGGAACACTTGGGCCATAGTAAACGCACCGCTCACGCGAGGTGGCTGTGAGTCCACTACAGTCCTTCCGGCAATAAGCGCCAGCGTGTTGCAAGAGGAGGAAGCCGCAAATCCCCATCATCTTCTTCTCGTAACAAGAAAGGCGGATCTTCCAAATCCGGTAGTCGTCGTCGACCGAAGAGGATGCAGTGGCGAGCGAAAAATCCGATGCAGAGGATAGCGAAGACGACCTTATGGATCGATTGTCGAAACGCAAGTCTACAACAACTGTTACTAGTACTAAACGACAATCGTCGGCATCCAAAAGCAATGGTTCAAAAAAGCACGCATCTCCATCTCCACCTGTGAAGAAATCCAAGCACCACTCAAAGAAGAGTCGAGGCAAGGAAATGAGTAGCCCTGGAAGTGGAGGAGATAATGAAGGCAATGCGACACATTATGCTGAAGATGACCAAGAAGAGTGTTCGGCTCGCTCATGCATAAAACCCGCCGGCACAGCTATCGATTGGATTCAGTGTGACAAGTGTTCTAAGTGGTACCACCAGGTATGTCTCGGTTTAACCCCGGAGGAGGCTGACGTGGAGGTCTACTACTGCCCGGCATGTAACAAAAAGCGCTGAGCCCTCTTATCCCTTTCCGCCTCCTGTAAATAAATCCCATTTCTCTTTTCTTGTGCGTGTGTATGTGTTCAAGAACCGGACAGCAGCTCCTGTTACTTATTCCATTCAATGTGACCGACACCGCATGAACACATATTTTACCCCCAACTCGCCGACAACCGCCTGTCAATATCACCTGATGCTACTACTTCTGCATTCAGCCACACAGCAATGTAATATTAACTATTGTACTCCAAGTTACTATGATGCAAACGTCTTAATCGACGTTACTGTCTTTTCAATTGGTTTCGTGATGTTGATGAGGGTGTCGCAGGTGGCCTAGTCTGAACTGAGGAATCAGCACAAGGGTTAATTGATGTATATATGGTGACCAGGTGGTCACGTCTGTCCATGGCTCGAAGTGTGCTTGGTCTAGCTAAGGGATCGTAGATGGGCCCGTCACGTCCCCCCGTAACTCGCATTTTCAGTTTAACTTGGGTGGTGACTTGTTCAGTGGTGCCCAGACAAGAGCAATGGTTGCTGTGATTAATTGTGGATTCGCACACACTCATGCCCTCAGTGAGGTTTCACAAATTTTATGCTTTCCATTAGTGGCCGCACATGTTATCTCACAGGACGCTCGACGATGTGGTGGAATGTGGTATTTGGGCAAGTTGTCAGACAAAATGTTCAGTTATCATGTTTTGCCTGTTAGCAGACCACTTCTGTTGCCAATAATACTAGGTAGCTCCCTCTGATTTAATGTGCAATGTGGCTACGAACGAGTGTTTTTCAAAGCTAGAGTTATAAGGAGGCCTAAAGCGTTTTCGATATCGCAATGCGAATAAGCACAGTGTTGCATCACTTGGCCATTTGTGCATTCGAAACTCAGCTTGGAAAACCATTACACTTGCCACTAATTTGCGTCTCGCATGCACTGCTGGTATGTTTCCACGTATAATCTGTACCTTCTACTTTTAAGTAGATGCAGAAGGGTGAAGTTTTTCTCCAGGGATACCAGAGAGTCGTTAGTTCGGGTACACAAATCGCTTGCATTTTTTTCCAGGCCCCAACCCGCCTTGACACATTGCCGCTCTTCTATCAGCAGTTTTGCTTATTACAAACTAGACTTGATCACTGAACTCCGGTGCTTCGATAAAAATAGGGAAACGCCGAAGTCAACTGCGTCAAAAGCAACAAAATCAGCATAGTGGCGTGTATGTTATGGTTACACAATTAGCGTAAATTAACATGACGATGGCAGCAAAAGCAGGTACGTTCCGAAGCATAACAGATATTACTGAGTTAGACGTACCAAGGTGAGGCTTACCGAAGTACTGCGACCTCACTTTGTCTTCTCGTGCCCTGTGGGCTCACTCAGGTGTTTATTCAACTATCTCAAGTCGTTATTCACTGTGGCAATAACTCGAAACCTGACCAAGTCTAGTTAATTTCATGCAAGAGATCAACAGGGCAGTGACAAGAAAAATAACGCTTCGGCGTGATCCAAACACTGGAAGATTAGAACAGGCTTCTTGCATACTGAAGTGTACTTTCGATGGAAATCGTGAATACATTTCTTCATAAACTCAAATTAAACATTGCTAAATGCGTCTCACTTACTTGTGTGCAGTCGGTTCCACTATAAGAACACTGAATTTGTTGTTTCATTAGAATACCAAGTCGAGGTACTAAGTTAGGTGGATTCCTAATCGAGGCGAACCGTCAATGTGTGCATCACACTAGTGCTTCGAGTCTAACTACACAATCCCGAACTGCATAAGTCTGCATTGTTGTTTGGTAAGTACAGATAGTGCTTCGCAGCGTGTCGGTTTTTGTCTGTCGTATCCAGTATATGCGAAACCGTTGGTAGTACTACAACACCCTGCTCGAACACAGACGGCATTGGCAAGGTCGCATCATACGTTCCTCCAATTATTGAACAGGCTTCCCAATGACCCGTCCTCATTTCTCATTCTAAGCACCATGCAACTCAAGTGATCTTGTCCATTTCCAAGGAACAGAATATCTTAATTGTCTACAAAAGATCTGGTAAATCAGCTGGCAAGTTTGCATTTGTCGAAATTGGACAGCCACTGTTGGATCGTGTCCAATATTTGTTGTGTTAATTGTGTGCATGATTATAATCTGTTCACAGAGTTGACTAATCACATCCAACGCATTCTTATGACGCGGTTATTCAAACAGGCAGGCGGGTTGATATTTCACGAAGAAATAGATAAAATCAGTTGAAGAGTGCGCTGGATGAAGTCAACTCGGCCAAATGACGCAGGACTGGAAATGCGGGTGGTAGATGCTGCTGTTTCCACACCGCCCCAGGCGTAGTCCTGTCTCCTATCCACACTAATTAATGCACCAACTTCCCAATGAGGCTTCTTCATTTCTCACGTGTCGTGGGCTGTCACAGGGCAACATCACTTGTACCTCCGACCAAGTGTTCTTTGCTTGGATACATTTCATGCGACCTACAATTCACGTGAACCCGCCTACTTTGTTGATGCGTTGGGTTTGAATTAGCAACATTGTGAAGCAAATTCAACCGAGCATGAAATCAACATCCAGAGTCCACGTGCAACAATGGCCTCATGGCCACAACTCACCACACCCAAACTGCAATGAAACTTCTGTGTCCTCTGATTTCTATCACAACAAGATCATTCAACGTGCTTCCGTGTTTTAAGTTGCGTGGTCATTTGCCAAAAAGGCACAATTTATATGCAGTCAGCACTACTTATTAACACGCATCCTCACTGGTGGACACTATCGCAGCTGTGTTTCGAGTGCCTGCCAATGTAGGTCGAGTAAAACCTCGACGACGCCAACTTGCGTCTCGTAACCCAAACCACAATGCATCATGGACGGTGTGAGGACAATCCGCTGCAGGTCAGTGTGAGCTGGACCACGAATCACAGGTGTGACTTGCATGGAATAGAACAGTCTTCGTCCGTAACTCAAATTATCCAAATCCGAAGCCAGTTATTGGACTCGTGTGCAATTGCCTTTGTAGACGATCCGAATTCAGCCACGAGGACACGTATTGACCACGCGTTTTCAGGAGCCCTGCCGCCAAGGTACTTCACGCCACAATGGGGCTGTACTGCGTGAGAATGCACTCCTCAATGCCCACCTCGATTCGGCCTAACGTTCTGCATCACGCGTTTACCTTGACACAATGTCTGATTTGTTAACGTCGAGTTGGTTGCATTGCGACAGCGATACATTCAATACGATCGAAAATGCCTCGTTTGCCGCAGCGAAAATCACAAAATTCGTTGGCACCAACGACTTTTTGTGTACCAACGTGAGGCTTACCGAAGTACTGCGACATCACTTGGTCTTCCACACACCTCAATCACGGTTACGCATGTTACTGTGTTGAGCAGCAGTTGTGAGCAAACGCAGTTAGCAAACGAGAGCGAACACAATTCAATTGGTTTACTTAAATGTACTCCGCATGATTATGTTCGTTCAGAGATAGATATCAAGTCATCCCTGTATAAACTGACTTGTTACCGTGTATACGCACGCAACGACTGCGTCAATCAAAAGGCCTGTTGAGCTACTTGCTGTGTGCATTTATGCTCGCTCTCCGGTCAAGCCCTGTCAACGTAGATCTTCTGACCTGGTTTGGTCATCTAAACGCAACGGCGGCCACAACACTACTTTCGACAAAACAAGTAGACGTGGCATTATTGTTTTGGCAAACCGCCGAACCATCAAGCCATCCTTATTTGTTGCAATTCCCACTGCATCAATCCCAAGAACGTATGCTGCTTACTACAATACACGAAGACATCCTAAAAGGCCTACTTGATAGGTCGGAAGCGAACATGAAGGACGGAAGGCAGAGATGCAGTGGTGCAGTCTCATTCTCTCCCACACTGACCCTATCGATCTCGCAAAACAGTCCCCTCATGCACCCCTGTGCGTGTACCTCCCCTAAGTTACCTGTTTCCTTCATCTGCGCATTCAGCCATTTCTACCTTCGTTGGTCAACAGACTCAGTA